CGGGCCCCAGAGGACGTTAAGGCCTGAGCCGTCGCCGGGCCGTGAACTCCTCATGTTTCAATCCATTCTCTGAAACCCCACCAAGGAGCAGAGCGACACCGTGAGCGTCCACGCACACGGGCTTGGAACACCGACCGTGCGGCTGACGCATGGCTTTTCCAAGACTCGTTTATCAAGGAACAAAGTTGTGGGTACAAGGAGCCTCCTGCAGCCCTTTTCCATCGCCTGTAATTTGACTACGAGCCAACCACTTCACCCTATAAACACGGCAGCCTCGGTGAGCCGCCTCTGCGCTCTCCCCGCTCGGCAGCGTGGCGGCACGGCGGTGACCTCCCCCGGAGCTGGGACGCCTCGCGAGGTGGCTCCTCGAGGCAGAGAGACCCTTTACCAAGGGCAGAGCTTTGGTGAGCGACCGATATCACGCCTAACCTTGCAGCACGGTAACTTTGGGTTTTGTCTTGGTGACTTTGCGCGCTGAACTGGTGCTAATGAACCGCTACATAAACTTTGCACGTACAACCCCTTAGACATAAACCGTTCTCCAAGTCTGAGACTAAGACTGGACCTAGCCACGCCTAAGCTCCTTCAGGAGTTTAGAAAGCAAGGGGGTCTACTCTGAACCTCGTCACTCCACGGGAGGGTCTTCCTCACCCTTTGCACCTCCGGTCTCTCCGTGCATCCCTCTAACTCGAGCGTAACTCGGTTTTCCTTTGTATGGTTCCTCCCGGCAGTCATCGCTAGAGCGAACCCTGCCATCGAGCTCTAAGTCCACTCTTACAGCGTCAAATTGAAACCACAGTTGCTCTCCGCTTTTGGAGAGGGACTTTTTACAAGGGCGCGTGGTGACAGGACAAGGGGGAACGGCTTTAAAGCGAAAGAGGGGGGATTTAGATTGGATCTAAGGAAGAAATTCTGTGCGACGAGGGCGGTGAGGCACAGGTTGCCCGGAGAAGCTGTGGAAGTGTCCAAGGCCAGGTTGGACGGGGCTTTGAGCGACCTGGGCTGGCGGAAGGTGTCCGTGCCCGTGGCAAAGGGTTGGAACCAGGTCATCTTTAAGGTCCCTTCCACCGCAACCCATTCTTGGAGTCGGTGATAACACCTTCAGCGTTCTAAATCACCCGTTCATCACGCTCTGTGCCACCGAACTATTCTCTCCTCTCTTCATTTAAAACCTAGATCTCATCGAACGCTTCCCGGCTGTCGAGTCCTGGGCCAGTAAAGCCCTGTGGCAAGTCGGCACTCTTCCAGTTGGCCGAGGTTACACCCATTAGCGCCACGATGGGAAGATGTATCTTCCCCCCCCCCCCCCCCAAAAAAATATGAATTGCCTAAGGGTTGCTCTGGTATCAAATTTAGAGTTTCTAGAAGCATAAATTAGTAAATAATGGAAGAATGAGAGAATCAGGCGGTGGCGATGGCCCCGGGGACGCAGCTCTTCTTTACGCACTTGTTCACGTGCCGCTTCTGGAAGACCGCACGGAAAAAGTTATCCTTCTTTTTAGAAAAATAAGCCTTATAATAAAAACAACGCTCAGCAAAGACAAGAGACAACGGCTTTCTTCTTCCGGAGGAGCTGGATAGCAGGGTTCAAAAAATAAAGCTTTGGTGATAAGGCCTGGAAGGTGGATTGCTGAATCGGGGACGAAGACTAAGAGACGTAGACTTTGAGATCATCAGGAATCTCTGGGAAGAGTTGGGAGTTGACGTCGTGCATGGAGTTCTAAACTTGGCAGCGGCCAGCGGTAATCAAAAACACCAGGTCGGGTTTCCCAACGGTCCTCGAAATTCTCCGTGCGTCTTAAATACACCTTGTAGAGGTCTCCCCTTTCGTACGGATCAATCGCTCAAAACCCTGCGAGGCTCGCTGTGCGAACAGTATTCTTTTCGATGACCGGAAGCCGAAGACATACGCTGCATTCCAGGTAAAGAATGCTCGCACCTTACTCGTACACTTGTTTTGCCCTTTGTTTTTTTAAATCATTTCCTATTTCAGTGAGGAAAATGGCTCTCTGGATCCCAGCTGGTAGCATCCAGCCATATATTCTTGCCGGTTCATCCCTCTGAGGGAAAAAAAGACTGGAAGCGCTGAAATAAAAGTCTTTCATGCCTCGTTCCGCGGAGAGTAACGCTACGATCTGACTTTGCAGGAACCTCGACGAGCAGAAGACAACCTGCCTTACCCTCCAGGCAGTCCCGGGCCGTTTGTGGGTGCGTGCTGGATGTCAGCAGCGCCTCTGCAAGGGTGATGACACCCAACTGGGATCAGCGATCCGTAAGGGCATTCGACTCCTGCAGCAGAAAGGCCGGTAACGCTTCGGGACACCAGAAGCTTCCGAGATGTCCTCTTGCAGGATGGCAGCAGGCTTTGAGTAGCGTTGTTTTGGAGTAAAGCCGTCGCTGAGTCCAGCCCGACTTTTGGAAGCCAGGATGAAAAGTTGCGACGGGACCGTGAAGCTTGCGGAGGCCTCATTTGGGGGAAGGAGCGCGGAGTTTGCGCTGCCGTTGGCGGGAAAGGCGAAGCCGAGTCTGTCAGCCTGACGTCGGCGGGTTGGGCAGGTTGCCGGAATCTCTCGCTCAGCGATTGCTCAAACGGCTTCCTACGAGCCTAACTGAATATGCAAAATGAATGTTAAAGGCTCTGATTCAAACTGAGGAAGCACGGCAGACACGCTGAGAACGTCCTCCTTAGCTCTAGCAGTACCCGAGCGCCGCTGATTTTTTTTTCCGATTTTGGAGACCACTGGATACAACCTGGGTAAAAAGGACCGCCTTCATCAGGGTTACCACAGGCCTGAGCAGGCCTGCCCGTCGCTCTCGGTGGAACCGGGACGCAACAGGCTCCCAGTTCCCAGAACACCGCCGCGATGCTGTGCTGAAGAATCGTCTCCTTTCCTCTTTTTAGAGGATCTTGCTGAGAAGCGTCTCCTTCATTGAGCAAGGCTTTCTCCAGAGCGGTCACCGGCAATGACTGGGAAGTCAGACCAGCGTCAGAGAGCCGAGAGGAGCGAGCTTCCTACCGGGATCAGGGTGACCCCGTGCTCTCGTCGCCGTGGGAGCGAGATGGTTCTCCTGGACACAGAGGTTAGACCAACTCCAAGTGCGGTTATCCACGTCCCACTAACCAACGGTTTCTTGGTGGATGGCAAGCGTCCTGTAGCTTCTTGGGAGGCTCTGCGGGCAGCCTCGTTTCTTTCTTTGCTCCTGCTGTGCAGACGTGCTGAGTAACTGCAAACGCTCCTTGCAGGAGCGGAAGGTCTTTCTGGCTTTCCCTCAGATTGAAACGACCCCGACCTTTCTCTTGGCTGAGGACAGCGTTCTGCCGTTAGGTACTGCAGAGGATTCCTCTGATTAACCCGAAGCCTCTTCTCTGCCAACGCCCGTCTTATGGCTGCAAAAGAGAAAAGCCAAAGAGAGCTGAGTGGCAGGATTGCTTTTCGCATGGGGTCGCGTCCTCCTCCTTTCGACACCGCGTCCCCAGCGCCCAACCTGCTCGTAGAGCCCGCGAGCACTCCCTGTTTTGGACCGCTGAGCAGACTTCGGTGCGCTGACCTGGAGGGCGTAGCGGTATCTCCGGGCGTAGGCCCCCCATCGCTCTCGTTGCTGCAGCAAGAGAGGGCCTAGACCTGGGCGTCCCGAGTTTTCGGGGGGCTGCTGGGCTGACATCCGAGCCTGATGGCTTGGGGTCTCCGCTGTCTCCGTGGACTTGATCCCAAGGAGGCAAGCAGAGCGCATTCTGCTGCAGGAGCAGGCGCGCCACGTGGAAGCGCGAGATGCAGAACCGGCTCCTCCCGCCCACGCACCCTGTTGCGTCTCTGCAGGCAGCTACCGGCCATCCAGGGGCGCTCCCTGAAGGCAAAGGAGGGGAAAGAGAAACGAATTCCTCTGGAGAAACCCAGAAGAGCAGACTTCACTGCCAGAACCACTGAGAGGAGACAGAAGGTACCTGACACGGGCTGCCGCAGCGAGCGTGTCGGACGGGACCGTAGAGAAGCGTCGCTCCGTGCACGCCGATTCTCCCAAGATTCGTCACCGTGTGTTCACGGGGCTGCTGCCGAGTTGCTTCCGCGCTTATTTGAAGAGAGGCGGGTTACTCTGCCCGTTGAGAACAGCCTTTTCACTTCCGACGGAATCGTGAAACACACCCGAAAACCTTGTGGATGTTTCTGTCGGCAACTGACCGCAAGGCTTGTCGGGGATAGCCAGGGGCCCGGCGGTCGCTGGTGGAGCCTGCAGGAGCCTGGGAGCAAAGCGGCGTGGAGGGAAAGGCAGAGAAGGGGCAGAAAGGAGGGTAGGCATGAAAACAGGTCAGCCCTCTGCAGGGGCTGTTGCCTTTTGGTCTCCCTGCAGAATAAACGCTTAAAGGGGAAGGAGAAGCTTCCAGAAACACGTCCAGAAATACTTGGAGAAAGAGAAAAAGCAGCTGGCAGAAGAGAAAAAAAAGGCCGGTGCAGGAGCCTTTCCCCACGGACACACCAGGCCCTGCGGGAGGTGGCGACGTGCATCGTGGGGCAGGTCGCCCAGCTCGGGAGCCCCCGCTGCAGAGCGCTCTCCCTGTGCTCGCACCGCCTCCTCCCGCTGCGCCTGCAGTGAGCTGGCAGTGCTGCAGCGGCATCGGTCGGGGACAGGGACGTGCAGCAGCCACCAACTGCGGGAGGCTGGACCCCAACCCGCACCCCCTGCTAGGCCAGGGAAGAGGAGGGCAGGACCGGTACGTGGCAGGGGCTCCTGGGGGCACTGTGTCGTATCCACCCGTAGAAAAGCATGTACACGTGCGACTTCTTTCAAGATCCCTTAGCGTGCACTTAGCCGACGGCTGAAGCACTTCTCCCGAGGCTTTCGGGAGAGGCAGCAGGTTGTTCTGTCCGTTCAGAAGGCAGCCTTCGCTTCTGTCACCTCCAGAAACACCCCCAGCCTTGATGTGGTTGTGGTTGCAATGGCGGCGGCACCGCCAGGCCTTCTCTGGGGGGGAAGCAGCC